GCAAGAGCGGCTGGTCGGCTGGGAAGGCGGGAAGCTCCTCCCTTGCCTAGAAACTGCGCCCGAAAGCTTCTGTTTGTTGTTGTAAATAAACCTACCGCCTGCCTCGCCCGCTGCAGCGGTCTCGCCAGCGAGTGCGGTCTGGCTTGGCCCCAGTCCCTACCGCTCTCCCTCTCCCTCCCTGTCATCGCGGCCTGTTGGGTGGGTTTCTCTGGGCTTTCCCTGCAACAAAACTCAGCGAGGAGATCATTTAAAACAAACAAACAAAAATCCAGCTCCGGGAAAGGGGAGAAACCTCCGCCGCTTCTTACCGCAGCTCCCCGGCAGCCTCCCAAGAACATCTCCCGACCGCCGGGGATGGAAGGATCGCATCTTTTCACCGGTTCTCCCTCCGCTCCCGGCCCCCTACCCCCCCCCGGCAGAGACTCTTTCTGGGACAGGCTAGTACTGTAATAATCAATTGGCACGCCGCTTCGTTGGGCCCTTTTCAACATTCTGGAGAAGGGGAAAAAACGTGATCACAGAGCAAGCCAGTTCTACTGAGCGCCTGTATGATTAAGTGTCTCGTGATTATGTGAAGCGTGCAGAATATTCCATAGTTCCGTACACACACACACACACACACACACACACACACACACACAACACAGCCTTCCCGCCAAAGCTTCAGGAAGGACGTTAGGTTATATTTTCCATATGTAGGGTACGTGTGGTATTCCTTCCAATTCAAAACATCACGCTGAAACAATTCGGCGCCAGAAGCAGGAATTTATTTGTAATAATAATAAAAGTATGTTACTATGGCAATAATTTGCATGGTTGAGATTATATACCATGAATTGAGTACAATTGCTAATTATATTATACTTTATCTAGTTTTATTTGGCTGCACAATGAATAGAAGCTAAAGAAATGTAAGAGAAACTAAGTTCCATTCTGGGAACAGTCATACTTTTTCTTTCTTTGAAATATATACCCTTCAGATCCTGTCTTTACAAGTGCTCAGTGTAACTCAAAGGTTTGCAATCTCATCAGATCCTTTCAGTAAAATATATCTTTTGAACCAACTAGTGGTTAACTGGGTTATATTTTTCAGACATGTTGGAATACTGGCAGGTCCAGTGCGGAAATTCAGCTGTCTGCAGTGGGGATTCCAGTCTATTATGATCAGTTTACTCTTTGCTTGTTCTGATTGAAGGCTGATGTAACATAATGACTGAGAGGATGGCTTCAGTGAGCTGAAGATAGCAAGTTCAAATATCAGCCCTGACATGAATTTGGTAAGTGGCCTCAGACCAGTCTCTATATTTATCACTGACTGACTGCTTGTGGTGATGTGTAAGGATGGCTGAGGTTGCTTAAGTGAAGAACATTGAGTACCTAGAAAATATCCTATATCCAGACATTGAATGCTAGCAGCTTCAGAAAACTCATTAGTATCTAGCAGGTCACTCACGGATTCAACAGCAAGGATTAGGATACTTTGCCCCATCTGATGTTTTAGACTTTAGCTCCCAGTAAGAGCAATGGCTAGGAATTATGGGAGTTGTAATCCAAAATATATGTAGGACAAGAGTTTTCTACTTTTGCCCCATCTCCAGTTTTATGAACATAAAGCATGCCTAGTTGCTGTCCATTTCCCATAGGTCAAGGAGTCTTTGCAATTCATTCTGGATGGAGACATTTCTGAGTAACAAAATGAATTATTTTCAAAAATAATTCCTTTCTTGCTCCCAAAAGATGGTGACGCAGCTCCAGATAGAACCTGAAACCCTCTGCCTGTTGCCGCAGCAGGCAAAGTGCAATCTTCCACATGTTGATGGGCTTCATATCCCATCAGTCCTAAACAGCACAACCAATGATGAGGAATACTTGGAGGTACAGTTCAAAAACATCTGGACAGCCACTAACAGCTCAAACTTTGACCAGAGGTACTGAGTGTGAATTATAGTCACAGGCCAGGTTGGCTGGGGGACTATGAGAGCTGTTCTTGAAAACAGTAACTTTTCAAAGCTCTGAACTGAATGTTTGATATTAATAGCTGAAGGCAACTCTTCCCCTTTTCTTTTTATGGCTTGATCATGCAGACGCCATATCTACAGCACCATGCCTACTTATTTTCCCCTGCATTTTGCTATATTTTGTCCAGGGAGACTTGGACAGTTTTAAAAAAGTCACACATTTTGGCCACCACTCATTTTGCCAAATAAAGGTATTATGCTAATATGACTTATGGAACCTGTTCCTCTCATAAATTTCATATGACCTCAGAAACAACTACAAACCCCCAATGGAACCAGCTACCTTTGGAGGTGGTGGGTGCTCCAACACTGGAGGCATTAAATTTGGACCATCATCTGTCAGATCTACTTTTATTTGGATTCCTGCACTGAGCAGGAGGTTGGACTATGGCCTTAAAGGACCCTTCCAATTCCATTATTCTATGATTCTATGAGATATCCACTTTTCCAATACTCTTTTCAAGTGAAATGTTGGGTGAACTATGGCCTTCGTTTCTTCACCTACATTTTTGCATATGATTAATGTAAAGGTGAAATGCTGAGACAGCTGGAAATTAATGGAAGATTTGTACCTGCCCACAGTGGAGCCAGCAATTTTACTGTTGCATGAATTAGAACAACCTCAGCAACCTCAGCTGGGAATAACCTTTAATTAAGGATGCTTGTAATTTTGCAAGAAGAGGAACCGATGCATAAGATCTGGCAGATAATGTACGCAGGTATCTATTCTTTTCTTTAGAAAGATACATATAGAACAAAAATATGGAAATATTTTCAGAGATTGCATGACACTACTGTATCTTGGGAAGCTTTACCTTAGAATAGGGATTGGAAATGTGTGAACCTCCATGTGTTGTTGGACTATAATTCCCAGACCCCATCACCAGACAATGGCTTGTATATAATGGAAAGAAAGAAATATTTCTTAATATGCTTCCCCTGTTACATTTTACTAAACTTGAACATATCTCCTCATTTATTTATATACAGGAATGTATATAATTCCTCTATATTTATATACAGTATATACATTCCTCTGGAGGGACGTGGTGGCGCTGCGGGCTAAACCGCAGAAGCCTGTGCTGTAGGGTCAGAAGACCAAGCAGTCGTAAGATTGAATCCACGCGACGGAGTGAGCACCCGTCACTTGTCCCAGCTCTCGCCAACTTAGCGGTTCGAAAGCATGCAAATGCAAGTAGATAAATAGGGACCACTTTGGTGGGAAGGTAACAGCGTTCTGTGTCTAAGTCGCACTGGCCATGTGACCACGGAAGATTGTCTTCGGACAAACACTGGCTCTATGGCTTGGAAACGGGGATGAGCACCGCCCCCTAGAGTCGAACACGACTGGACAAAAATTGTCAAGGGGAACCTTTTCCTTTTACCTATACATTCCTCTACTGTTTTACTAAGAAAAGCTTCAAGCATAAGAGTAAAAGCACTACAATACAATGATAAAGCACATATCAATGCATTCAACACTATTGAGTGTTGAAAATAAATATTTTATCCTTAAATATATTTAATATAGCTAACCACCCAAGTGTATTTATGTTTCTTTGGAAGTGATTTGGTGAGATATACTCTTAGCTAGATTAGCATTGCATTCTAAAAATCTGATGAAGTCAGTTACAATCCATGAAAACTTACATGATATAAATCTGCTTAGTCTTGTTATCACAATAGACTGTGTTGCTGTTGCTGCAATGGATGAACATGAATATCCACTCTCCAGGATATTTTCCATGATCATTAGAAAAAAATAAGGAAGAACTGAACTTCTGTAAACAGGTTGGAGTCACCTGTGATTGCTGTAGCTCTGTCTAGTAGTACAATGCCTAGTACTGGTTTGCTTGTAAATGTAATATTATTACATTTGCATTAATGCAAATCTGGATTAAAAATTATTGCTAATATCAACTCATATTTAAGCCTTTCAACTGATACCAAACCAAAGGCCGGGGGGGGCATAGGGAACACTAAGTATTATAAAATAAAAATTATAACTGGATACTGCTGCGAAAGTGGATAAGATTAGGTCTGCACTGTCGGTGTCTATAGCAGTCAATGTTTTCCAGAATTAAAAACAGTTCTTCTCATAGTTAATTAGTGGGCCTTGCACCAGAAAGGTGGATGGCTTGCTCTTATTTTTTGAAACAAACAAATCATTTGAATGGTTTGTTTTAATGTTTTATTTCCCAACACGCACCATGCTGACTTTATACTCCACGTCATATTCTCATTATTATCCTTTTTACCTCTTTTTATCCTCTCTGTTCCCATTGCATCTCTAGCCTATATTTGAAAAACCACACAAAGTCTGCTGAAACAATTGCTGTTAATACCGAAGATGTAGAAATATTTCAAAAGGAAGGAATCGTACTGATCCAATGTATTGAAATCATAGTTTTCGTGAACTCTGTAGAGAAGCTTTTTTCTATTACTCTCCTGGGGGAGATGACGGGCTCACTGGACAATTGCAGCTCTGTCTCTTTAAGGCGTCACTTCAGTGTCTGGTCAGCACTACATGGACAGAATCTGCATACATAAGTCGTTCCTGCGGCTGTTGCTGCTTTCACTCCCCCTGCCGTTGCCAAAGGCACGCACCAGCCCTTTTGGCCGCAGCCCTGGAGCGGTTCCCGGCAGTCACACCCCTCTGCACAGGATGTATGCCATATTAGGACATTTACGTCAGTGGGTTCCCGGCTTAGACTGAACCAACTCAAAATAGGGGACTAACTCACCACTTTCCTTAACTTTTAACGGCTGGAACCCACAGCAAACTCTCCCCATTATCATCACGACACTTTTAGAAAAAGATTCATTGCATGTTGAGACGGATTGTGGGGTTGCCATACAAATTTGACCCGTTTAAATCTGTCCGTGATCGTTGCTCCTCCCCTCGCATGAGGATTACCTCCATTCGTGACGTAGTTCTCATTCAAGTCTTGAGCCGTAAGAGGATAAAAGGCGGTGATATCGCTCTTTACTCCAGTAGCAGAACAGCGTGACTGAAACAGGCAACGGCGTAGAGGGGACGGGGCTTACAAGAAACCCGTTCGCCTAGCCAAACTGCCGTTCCATTCGGATATTTAGCTAGGAGAGATACATCACCCTGAAGGGCTTGTACTATCCCAAGCTATTCGACATGATGTATCAAGGCTTCACCGCTGACTACGATGCGTCTTCCTCTCGCTGCAGCAGTGCTTCTCCGGCCGGGGACAGCCTCACTTACTATCCTTCGCCGGCAGACTCCTTCTCCAGCATGGGATCGCCTGTCAACACACAGGTGAGGCATCGGGACACTCCAATACCGTACCTGGGTTCGGGTGGGAGCTATAGGTTATGGGGAATCGGTCTGTTTCCTTTGTTATTACGGGATACGATGGCCGGTCGGTAGCAGTACTTAATTATAATTGCTGCATTTTGGAATTGCTTTGATCTATATATTTAAATGTATCTTGTATGCCGTCTGTTTTACGTTAAAGTATGCTTTTTCTCGTTTCGGTATTTAAACATACGGCACTGTATAGTCATACATACATATATGCATCTATATGTGTGTGTGTGTGTGTGTGTGTATACAGTATATACATATTTGTGTGTGTATATATACACATATATACAGATATGTACAGATAGAGAGAAACTCTACAATGCTAAACGAAAACAGCTCTGGTCATATAGGAAGGGGCGATGGAAATGGTAGAATTTTGCAGAGTGGGGGTTGGTTGATGCGATGAAAGATTAAGGGGGGGAGGGGATCCTAACCCGAGAGGCGCGCTGCAGCGGGTGCGTAAAGCGGCTTCATTGATAAAACGCGGCTTCATTCAGGAGACTCCGGAGCGAAGCTTGCGTCAGTGCGGACGTCAGAGATATTTATAACAAGCCCCCGTTCATGTGTAGTCTGATGATGGCGGCAGCAGCGTCCGAGCCAATCTAGCCCCAGGGACTGCAGGCCCAGCTCAAAATAGCGCAGCGGGCTCTTGGGCACAGAGCTGTCATCGTGTGCACTGTAGTTGCTCAGACCTCCCCCCCCCCAAAAAAAACTTTGTTCGTAACCGAGTCTGTTTATTTTGCTTTTCTTAGGACTTCTGCACGGACCTAACTGCTTCCAGTGCCACCTTCGTCCCCACGGTGACTGCTATCTCCACCAGTCCAGACTTACAGTGGATGGTCCAGCCCACCCTCATCTCTTCAGTGGCCCCTTCTCAGAACCGTAGTCACCCGTACGGGCTCCCTGCCCCTCAACCTGCGGCCTATGCCAGGGCTGGAGTCGTCAAAACGACAGGCAGCAGAGGGCAAAGCATCGGCAGGCGGGGCAAAGTTGAGCAGGTGTGTAGGCACTGCGGGGCTGCTGGGGAACTTCTAACCACCACCATGCCAACCATGCCAGGCAGAGAGAGGAAGGGGTTAAGGGCTACTTCTGGCCGGGCGGTGGGGTCCTATTTGGTGGTTCCCTACTTCCTTTAACGGGAAAGAACGCCAATGGAGCTCTCGGCGAGAGTGATCCAAAGCAGGGGTTGGCAAGCGCACGCTTTTCAACGCGCCCGAAGTGGGCTGGAGGGAAAACGTAAGCCCTCTCTGAGCTAATGCACGGGATACTGACGGATGCCCTTTTTCTCTCTATAGCTGACGCCAGAAGAGGAGGAAAAACGAAGGATCCGAAGGGAGAGGAACAAGATGGCAGCTGCCAAATGCCGCAACCGGAGGAGAGAACTCACGGATACTTTGCAAGCGGTGAGTATTCCCTGCCGGGGCTCGCCAGCTGGGCCTCCCGCCGCTCTCTGCCCCTCCCTGCCGGGCTTCTCTCGCTCGCCTCCAGGAGGCCTTGACTGACTCGCCCCTCCCCTCTTTCTCTGTGTCCCCAGGAGACCGACCAGTTAGAAGAGGAGAAATCGGTGCTGCAGACCGAAATCGCGAACCTGCTGAAAGAGAAGGAGAAGCTGGAGTTCATCCTGGCCGCCCACCGGCCCGCTTGTAAGATCCCGGAGGAGCTCCAGTTTTCCGAGGACCTCGCCGTGTCCTCCTCGCTGGATCTCTTAGCAGAGGCCCCTGCCGGGGCCCACTCCCCCGAGTCCGACGAGGCGGCCTTCGCCTTGCCTCTCCTGCAGGAGCCCGCCCGGGTCGAGGCGGCCAAGGAAAGCAGCGGCCTGGAGCTGAAGGCCGAGCCTTTCGACGACTTCTTCGCCCGCTCGGCTCGCGAGACGCCGCGCTCCGTGCCCGACATGGACCTCTCCGGCTCCTCCTCCTCCTTCTATACCGCGGACTGGGAGGCTCTGGGGGGCCCCGTGGGCAGCACGGAGCTGGAGCCCCTCTGCACCCCGGTGGTGACCTGCACGCCCTGCCCCAGCACCTACACCTCCTCCTTCGTCTTCACTTACCCGGAGACCGAGGCTTTCCCGAGCTGTGCCGCCGCGCACCGGAAGGGCAGCAGCAGCAACGAGCCTTCCTCCGATTCGCTCAGCTCGCCCACTCTGCTGGCCTTGTGAAGGGCCTGGGATCCCGGAGCAATAACTACGGGGTTAGAGGCATCAGCCCGGTGGAGACCGGGCCCACCAACCTCTTTCTTGCTGCTGCTGCTACTACTACTGCATGGGGCCGTAGGCTGCAGAGGAGCCTCCCTCACCTTCCCGTGGAGCTCCCCAAATTCCACCCCCTCCACAAGGCCTGGGGTAGACAGAAGCGCCGCCATCCCGGCGTTTGGGAGGGCCAACCCGGCTGGAGTGAAAAGGACTTTGCCGGAGGGACTACTCCACAGACCTGCCACAGGGCCTGATACCTCTTCCAGAGATGTAGCAAACCGCATGGAATACGTCTTGTCCCCATCTATGAGAACTAGTAGTTTTGTAGCATGTTCAACATGGCTGGGTTGGTGATTCCCTTCCTTCCCTCCTTACTATCACTAGCATTAACTAGTTAAGCTGTTGGTTTAATGATTGGAATTTTAATATGGTGCTGGGTATCCTTCAACTCGTATCTAGTGCAGCTGATTTAACAATAACTACTGTGTTCCTGGCAATATCGTGTTTTGATGACTTAGCAATGATCCAACTTAACTGCAGAAAAGAGACTATTTTATTTTCTGGTAGATAAATAAATAGCTATGTTGTTCATGTACTATAGTTCTCCTTGTACATCAATGTTCATCGTAACTTTAACTGATCATACATTGTTGAAGTGGTCTGAATGGTTTGACATAAGTTTTCCATGAAAACGTTTTTATTGTGTTTTTAATTTATTTATGGATATTTATATTTTTATTTTTTCTACCTGAAGGTATTGACATGTGGAAAGTGAATCTGGATGAAATTTAAGCATTGTTCGCTTATTGTTCGAGACACTGTCAATAAAAGCATTTAAGTTGAATGCTATAAAGGCTCTGCAGTCTCTTTACTGAAAAAGTGGTCCAAGTAGTAGACTTATGATTATTGTATGAAAAATAATTTAACACAATTGAGGTCCAAATGTTCTCAGGTTTTGTCAGAAGGGTTGGATATACTGTTAAGTGGTGGTCCTACTGTACCAGCTACTAACTTTCTTCTTAAAACTATGTTGCACCTTTTAAAGGCTTATTTTATGTTCTAAATTAGTGGTCCCCAACCTTGGGCCTCCAGATGTTCTTGGACTTCAACTCCCAGAAATCCTGGCTAGCAGAGGTGGTGCTGAAGGCTTCTGGGACCATTTACTGCCCAACACACTGATTTAAAGTTTCACAACATTTTGAAATCTTAGTACTATACATTAGTATGTGGGAAGAAATCCTACCTTATTCAATAGGTCTTACTTTCAGGTACTATCTTATTTCAGTTCCTGTAAATTTCAGCTGTACTTTGGTAGGGAACATTTGCCCAGTTATCAACACACAGAGAGGCAGCTAAAGAACTCCGTGATACAATGGAGAAATTAACTTCCTCTAGTCTTGTGATTATTTCTGTTCAGATAATTGCTCTTTCGTCACATCATACTTCCTGTTTGTTTCCTTCTCTCTGAGTAGATCTGACTTAATTGTTTTATCTTCATTGTTTCCTACATTTACAATCTTTTATTTTCCTGTGTCTCATAATCTTTAATCCTCCACATAGAAAGGGACCAAAAAAGCTTATTAATTGGAGAGGTTGAAAGGAATCTATTACTGGGTTTTGCTCAGGTATTCTGTAGGCTGGATAGCTGATAGCTTTGTATCCTTTCTTGGATACAAAGGTTACAACACCCAACAAATATTAATTTAGATAAAGCTAATTTAGCACCTAAATGCCATCCAAAACTCACTGTTACACCAGCAATCTCACAATTAAAATATCTCAGCTGTATGTACCAAAACACTCCCTCTGATAGCAACTGCAAGCAATAAATGCAAAATAAAAGGTATAAAATGAGGCCTCTGTGAAACAGGATTGATATCTCACCAAGCTCAGGTGAGATCATGATCTTTCCAGAATAACCATTTTCATAAATATCCTCTGAATTGATAACCGTCCTTCAAAAAGTAGTTGTTGGAGTATTGTCAGCTAGGAAAAAAAAGCAGATGGAAGCTGGAGGAAATAAAGCATTTAGAAGGACAGCAAAACTGACTAGAACAGCAACAGGAACACATCTCGAAAGGATCTATTTTGATACTGGTCTGCCTGATCTGGAGATTTTAACAGAAGTTCTGAAACATAGGACAAATGTGTTTTTAATTCACACTCATGGCTATCATAAAAGTGGGACACACTGAATCAATTAATCTAAAATGCAACAAGGCTTGAGCTGATTCCTGTGTTCATAGCTTTTCATTTAAAAAGGCCAGCAAAATCAGTACAGATGGCCAAGTTCAAATATGCAGCTATAATGCAAAGTATCTGCGCTAGCCAATATTTATATGCATCCCCTAGCACCTCTCTTAGTTGAGTGCTGCAGCTGCAAAAGAAGCTGCTTTCTAGATACAGTAAAATTACTGCCATGGTTCTCAGTTTAATTAAACTGGAAATTTCTCAGGGAATTTGTCAGTGTCCAGCTTCCATGATGAACTGTAAATAAGTTATTCCCCTATAGGAAATAACTGATCATCTGTTTGATGCAAACTGCTTTAAGATCTGGGAACATTATTGTACCACATTATACAACAGTCAAGGATAGTGGATCCAAAATCCACCAGCTATATTGTTAACTAGAGCTGGTTACAGGATTGCAACAGCTCCACTGGCTGCCACTTTGTTTCCAGGCATAATTCAAAGTGCTGGTTCTTACTTAAAGCCAAAAATGACTTGGGTCCAAGCTATCTCTTCAGGGAAGCTTTTTCTCAATGACAGGGTGCAAAAGAGCTAAACTCCCCCCCCCTTCCCTTTCCAGTTCTGAGATTTTTGTTTTTCACATTGCAATCTCCCTTGGATCCTCTTGAGAATGGCAGGGTTGAATAAATAAATAAGCAAGCCTTAATGTTTATACCACAACTCCAAGTTTACAGCTCATATGAAACATTTAAGCCCTATACAGGTGTTTTTGTGTATGTGATATAGGGCACATCTTCTAGCAAAGACACTCTAATACACAGGTTAAGAGTATTACAATATATATTGATACAGATCCAACTTTTACCAAGTTGACAATTAAAGTAAAATGCAAAACAAAGTTTGTTAACCTAACCATAAAAATATCAATGGACAGTGATGTTCAACTGAAAATTATCATTCTGATGTGATCATTCATGGAGAAGAACGATAGCTCAGTGGCAGACCACACAATTTACATGCAGAGGGCCCGTGATAAGCATATGCTTTGCCACTGAGCTATGTATTTAATTCCTTGGCATCTCTAGTTTCACGGATCAGATACTAAGTGATGTTGAAGTGGCTCTTCCTAAAATCCTAGAAACCCAATGCTTATCAGGATAGAAAACACTGGGCTGGCCAGACAAATGTTAGATGCTTCTCCTGCAATCAATAGCTGAAGGAACTTTTCCTATTGATTGCCCAGGCCAGGAAAATCCTAAACCTCCATTCCATAGCCATGTATGTTATGGACACTTTATTTGTTAATGCTACAAATCTTAGTATTATCCCATTATTTCAATGAAGCTAACAGACTTTAAAACCTACTTTTTAAAAAACATATTACTGGTACTCAGAATAGGCTGTTGATCCATGCAGGTGATAACCAGGCATCTAGTCATTAAAAAGGTTTGCAGCAGCATCAAATTCCAAAGCCAAAAAAAAGCTTTAAAAAGCAACTATAAGAAGAGCTGTCACCTGCTAGAAAATAAATTTTGTCTGGATTTGCAATCTACGTTTTTGAAGTAAAAGTTATACTGCAGAGGCAAATATAGCTTCTTCCAGAATCTCTGATGCAGTCTGAGTTATATCCAAAAGTTAGTTATATCTCCCCTGATCATTTTCATGGATAACATTACATATATGTCTGAGGAAAAATATGAAAGCACCCATATTTCTGCACTAGTTAGACAGTTATCACCATCTTAAATAGTTAGCTACTACTACTTGCAATGGCTTGGTAAATCTATTCAGAGCAAAGCCATAACTGCTGAGTGGAAATCCTACAGTTCTCGGTAAGTAATGTACAGCCTTGTCCAGTATGTATTCACTCAGAATTTAGGTATATTGAAATCAGTGACATTTACTTCTAAGAAAATGTGCACAGGACCACAAGTAAAAGGCATCCCATGAAATTTGTGAGGTGTCTGCCATAAAAAACCTTAAAGTTATTAAATTAAGAAATCTGTATGAGATGACATTGCATATTCTATCACAGAAGCCTACTGTTAATCAGTTGCTGGTGTATTTAGAAACCTGTATTTCTGACTATTTCCCACGCAGGCCAATATCTCTACTGAAATATTGCTAATTAAAAGATATCAGAACTATAACAAATGTATATAATCAATATCTCTAATACTAATTTATAAAGATAATAGCAATGAATAATGGATTTCCCAGACAATTCTTAATGTGTCTTTCCTCCAAATTTGGTCTGAAGAATTGGATATCCAGCTCTTCAGACCAAATTGGCAGATAGGAGAGGGATGAGAGGAAGGCAAAATTCTGTTGCTTAGGCATAAGTTCTCTCATAAAACAATGGATGCTGCTCTAGTTATTATAGTTAATCTATCACAAAGTGGATATTATAGGTCTTAGCAGAAGCAGGACCTGTACTGTGAGACTAAAATATTTTAGGTATGCTTTTCCCTTCCTATTCACTTGTTACATCCTAATCATATATATATGCAAAACCTTTTGTGTGTGTGTATATTTAGCTAGAGTTTCCTTGACAGAGAAAAGGTACGATGATGTACATTAATTTCTGACAAAAGTCTATTTCTAACTGATTTTGCATTCAGCAACAATTTAAATTTTTATCCTTAACAATAGAAAATCATCCTGCTTATCAGTAAAGGGAGTAGGGTGGAGTACATTTGACCTGGAGGGTTCCAATTTCTCATGTTATTTCCTGGTACTGAAAGTCAGCCTGTACCTGTGTTGAGCTGTCAAGTCAGTTTAGATTTAAGACAACTGTAGCCGGGTTTCCAAGGCATGTGAAATAATTAAGGAATTATTAAACCAAAGCCATGCCCTAGAGTTTCCATGGCCATGCAGAGATTTGGACATAAGTTAAATAATAACAATAACAACAACAACAATAATAATAGAACTGCAGTACTAGAAGGGACCCTTGTGGATCAAGCCTATCCTCTGTCAAGGAGGCATAGTGGAGACTCCCAACCTAGACCAACACTCCTTGCACTGCAGTGTGCCAGCCCTACATACAGAATGGAATTATGAGACAAATCCTGGTTCTTTCTTTGTTCTTAGCATGTTGGTAATATTAAAAGGGAAGGGGAGAAAAAGGAAAGAGAAAAGGCAAAATTTAGTTATTTGCTGTATTTGATTCATATACTGCCTCTCTAATGGACACACTACTCTGGGCAGTTTACAAATAAAAAACCAGAACCCCACAGTAGTGCTACATCAATATGGCAGTTCAACAATCGTTATATCTAAATTTTTAAAAGCATAAGAAAAAAAATTATAGTCTCCGGGGATGAGTCACTGGAGGCAGTTCCAAACTATCATAGCACTTCAAAGATTTCTTTCAGTGAAAGGCTATTTTTCTCTCTCCCCCCC